CAGGAATGCACGTACGTATGTGATAGACTGCATGAGTGTGAGTGTGTGTTACAGAGAGAGGCTCAGACCCCATCTCTTTCCATCACCAGAAATGGACCAGGTGGAGATTTCTCCTTGCACAGTGGACCGGGACACTGTATGTGGCTGCAAGAAGAACCAGTACCGGAAATATTGGAGCGACAGTCTTTTTCAGTGCCTGGACTGCAGCCTCTGCCCCAATGGCACGGTGCACATCCAGTGTGAGCGTGGCTCTCCCCACTCCAGCCCCCTTCTCAGTGCGGGGTGGGCCCTGTCCTAGGAGGAGGGTCTCCACCTTTCTGCCCCGCTGCCCCACGAGGCAGCACTTCCCATCCTTCCCATTCCTGCAGTCTGTGGGAACGCCTCCACTCTGGCCGTCTATCCCCGCCTCCCCTTTGGTCCCCAGGGGGCAGGGTGGTCTCCTTTAGTTGTGCTGCCTCTCTCCCCACAGGCAAGGAGAGACAGGACACCATATGCAACTGCCACGCAGGGTTCTTTCTAAGAGATAACAAATGTGTGTCCTGTGTTAAGTGAGTATCTCTGCCAGGATCGGGGGCGTGGGGTGTGATGGGATGGCTGTGGGGAGAGCCACCAGCAGGTCGAGGGAAGCACTCCAGGTACTCTGGCTCCTACTAGCTGCTCGAGTGGAAGACAACACCACCAGATAATCTGTCTCTTTTCCCCTCAACTTGTTTGTTAAATATCAAATCTTAAGAAGTCTTTGGGTATAGAGGCACATACTCCAGGGACTTATAGTTCTTCTAACTCAAACATTCAGATTTTTTTTTTTAAATTGAAATTCTTAGTTGATAATAGGGTCTACTACTGTTTCTAGGACACACACTCTTATATCTCCGAAATCAGACTGCATCTTACAATTGATGATGTATCATGGTTTAATTGGCAGGTGTGTGTGGTACGTAAATAATGGCGCCTCTTATTACTGATAGCATTTTAAGTTTGATGCAATATGGTATTCCTTCCCCAGTCCCTTTGACTCGGCCTCCTCTCTCCTGGCTCCACAGAGGCTGTTCTTGCATACTTGCTTACAAAGAAGAAACTCTGAGGGCTCTAAATTTGAACTGACCCGGATTTAAATCTCAGCCTGGTCACTTACTCGCTATGTGACTTCGGGCAAGTGACTTAACATCTCTGAGCCTTAGTATTCTTATCTTTAAGGACAATGACATCTTCTTGACGAAGTTGTTAAGAATCACAAAAAATAGGCACAAAGTATCTGACAAGAAAGTAGTTTCTTTTTCCCACTGTTTTATTTCTTCTCCTTGAAAGAGCTTTGACACCCAAACCATGTAGTTCTCATCATGAGCTTGTGAGGTGGGCAAAAGGACCTCTTCCTGTTTTCAGAGTCCTGCTGAGAACTCACCTCAAGTTCCTCCTAGGCCTCCCGCGTAGTTCTCGTCACTCCACACTGCCCAGTGCCAGCTCCCAACATGGAAAGATGTGCTTATTCTAGAGTGCTTTCTGGAGCCCCCCAGCAATACGTATTTTTAACATTTTCACATGCGCGCTTGACCTCTGTTTCAAAGTCAGGTATTGTCAGCAGCAGTGTCATCTTGAGAAAAAGCCCTTTAACTTCTCTTTGCTACAGGATTCTCATCGGATAAAATAACAATTTAATGACAGCTACCATTCGTTGAACACTTACTGTATGTCAGGCATAATTCTTTCTCTTAATCCTCAATCCTGACAGGTGGGTAGGATTCCTGTTTTCCTCATGAGGAAACTAAGGCATACAAGTTATAGGATTTCCTTGGAGTCACACTACTAGTCAGTGACTGGGCTGAAATTTATATCCTGACCCTGTTTTAACTCTTTTTCTACACAGCCTCTTCAAGATCAGTTCTGGTTCTAAATGAAAGATTCTGTGATTCATTTATGTTTCATTCCATTGCATCAATTCTCAGGATAGGATAATTTCCATTACGTATCAAGAGATAGTTAAAATATTTGTAAAGCATAGAATTTCTACCACTTTTTTTTCTTTGAACCTGTGTTCCTCCTACGTTAAGGCCCCTATTTACCTGTGCTATCGCTTCTTTTAGCTGTCAGGAAAACACAGAGTGCACGAAGTTGTGCCTACCCACATCTGCAACTGTTAAGGACCCTCAGGACACAGGTGAGGAGGAATAACCTGATGCCCACCTGCGCCCTCCTAACCTTGCCCCGCACCCACCCATCTGGCCCTGCTACCTCCTGTAGCCCTCTCCTCTGACACAATCTGCTTTTCCTCCAGGCACCACAGTGCTGTTGCCCCTGGTGATCTTTTTTGGTCTCTGCTTTTTATCCCTCCTCTTCATGGCTTTAATATGCCGCTTCCAACGGTGGAAGCCCAAGCTCCACTCCATTGGTGAGTGGGGCCTCGGGGAGGGACAAAGGGTGCTGGTGGGGGTGTGGCAGGAGGCTGGGAGGTAAGACGCACCAGCACAGAGGGCAATGAGGAATACATCTCCGCAGTCCCCTTAGTTCCCTGCGCCCTGGATGGCTGGTGAGAGGTCATTCTGCATCAGTAGTTCTCTCATCCCTGGGGCCACGCAGGCCCTGAAGCATGTCACCACAAATCCCCAGAGGGCCAGTCCCAGCACGGGCGTCAGGGCTGAGAGAGGAAGTCAAATTTGTGACGTTTTGTTTCTTTCTCTTTAGTTTGTGGGAAATCGACACCTGCCAAAGAGGTAAGAAGAAACCAAGGACCTACCCCCAATCTTCCCTGACTGTCCATTATAATCTTGTAAGACCCAAATTACCTGGAATCACCCTTGATCTCGGGCTCCCCTAATTCCCTCTAGTCCAAACACCATCCAGAATAAAGAAGGCTGGATGTTTTTCCTCTCCCCACTAATGCTGCGCCTTCTCTCTTTCAGGGGGACCCTCAGCCGCTGACCCCAGCCCCAGGCTTCAGCCTCACCATGGGCTTCAGTCCCATTCCGGGGTTCAGTCCCATCCCCAACTCCGCCTTCACCCCCAGTTCCGCCTTCACCCCCAGTTCCGCCTTCACCCCTGGTGGCTGGTCCAAGTGCCCGGCCGAATCACCCCCTAGAGAGATGGCTCCATCCCACCATGGGGCTGACCCCCTTCTCAAAGCGGCTCCAGTCTCCACCCCCATCCCCACCCCTCTTCAGAAGCCGCAGGAGAGCGCCCACACACGGCGCCCAGACGGTGAGCACCTGGAAGGGAATCCGGGCCGCGGGGTACAGGTGGGCGGGGCTCCTAGAGGGCGCGTGCCCGTGGAGCTGGGCGGGGAGCCGCAGCTACAGGCTTACTGCCCGCTTCCTTGCAGCGGACCCCGCAACGCTGTACGCGGTCGTGGACGGCGTGCCCCCGTCGCGCTGGAAGGAGTTCGTGCGGCGGCTGGGGCTGAGTGAGCACGAGATCGAGCGGCTGGAGCTGCAGAACGGGCGCTGCCTGCGCGAGGCGCACTACAGCATGCTGGCGGCCTGGCGGCAGCGCACGCCACGCCACGAGGCCACGCTGGAGCTGCTGGGCCTTGTACTCCGCGACATGGACCTGCTAGGCTGCCTGGAGGACATCGAAGAGGCGCTGCGTAGCCCCGCCTCCCTCATGCCCGCCCTCTGCGAGCCCCGATGAGGCCACGCCCCCGAGGTGGGAGAGGCTGTCCTGAGGACAGCCGCTTCCTGCTTCTGGGCTCCCAAGGACTTTGCAAGATGCCCTCTAGATCCCCTTTTTTTATGGAGAGGAGGGGTCTTGGAGGGGCAGGCGTGAGCTGGCAGCCCCTTACTTGGTGCTACTCCCTCAGTGTACATAGCTTTTCTCAGCTGTCTGAGCACTGGGAGCGTCCCGAGGTGGGAGAGGCTGTCCTGAGGACAGCCGCTTCCTGCTTCTGGGCTCCCAAGGACTTTGCAAGATGCCCTCTAGATCCCCTTTTTTTATGGAGAGGAGGGGTCTTGGAGGGGCAGGCGTGAGCTGGCAGCCCCTTACTTGGTGCTACTCCCTCAGTGTACATAGCTTTTCTCAGCTGTCTGAGCACTGGGAGCGTCAGCGGTGTGTGTGTGTGTGTGTGTGTGTGTGTGTGTGTGTGAGAGAGAGAGGGAGAGAGAGAGAGGAAGAGAGAGAGAGAGAGAGAGAGAGAGAACATACAGATATAGATAGATGTGGTGTGTGTGGTTGTGGGAGAGGCTGAGTGTGCCAGGAGCCCAAGTTGGCGGTTGTGATAAGGAGTACCAGGCCACATTGCCTATTTGGGGCCTGGAGGACCCAACAAGGCTGCTTAGGAGACCCTAGTTGGTCCCTGAGCCTTTTTCACAGTAGATAAGCAATCTTTGTATCAATTATTTTACACTAATAGAAACTTGGCACCCCTTTGCCCCCTATCTGGACAAGCACAGAGTAAGCTGAACTGTCCCAGGGCAGGGACAGTACAGGACAATGGGGCCTCCAGCCGGAGCTGTGGACTTCTGTAAATACACTAAAACTGGAAAAGTAAAGCTCTGCTCTGGAGGGAGTGTTCTTTCTGAGTAATGGGTGGGAGCCTGGGACAGAGACCTGGATCCTGATGGGTGGGATGGGAGAAGCCCTGAGCTGGGGCCAGATACTCCACCACCATGACGCCAGCTGACAGGAGTAGCCTGTGTTCACTCTGTTACTCACCCCCACCCCAGGTTTTTCCCACCCTCATCTAGCGCTGACTGGGCAGTCATTTTTATGCACAACTTTTATGTGGGGCTCAGGTGTCTATGGAACATAAATGTACAGCTCTTGATCCCCAGAGTTTTTAGAGCAGGAAGCATGAGGGTGCCTGGGCCAGGCTTCCTGGTGGGGAGTGTGGACCTTGAGGTAGAGTCCAAGGGTGGAGGTGGTGACCAGCACTCTTGTGGAGAGATTTCCTGAAGGAGCAACGGCAAAGGTCCCGAGTGTTCCTCAAACCTCTCTGTAAAGAAAGGAGGTGGATGTTAGGTAAAGGCGGACGCGGGGTGAAGAGTGGGGCTAAGGGCCCTCCCCTGCCGTGGCCCCTGCTCTGTGCCCTCTTACACTGACCCCCTCCCCACCGACCTCCTTGTCTGACACCCCTTCCCACTCCATACTAGCCTTCCCCTCTTCCTTCTCATACCACCTTCCTTTCAGCACTTACGACGTGGACAGGGGGGTGTCCAGTTGTACAGTGTGGGGCCCACGCATCCTTTGCAGTTGGATCCGAGTCAGCTTCCGAGGCCTGTTGTCCCTAGGCTCCGGGATGCCCTCAATCCTTTGGCTGGCCAGCTCCTCCCGGATCTCTCTGAGCATGTCCTCAGCTCGGAGGGGGCGGGGAGAGGGGGTACGGTGGGGTCTCAGAAAGAGGAGCCCCTCTTCCTCGTCCTCTGAAGATGCCCAGGAGCTTTCCCCAGCAGAGTCAGTGTGGGTTGGGGAGTGGGGGAGCTGCCCCCGAAGTTGGGCCCTATGCAAGGTTTCCACCACCACGTTCCCTCCCACCGAGTTCCCATCTTCTTCCTCAGACCAGGTCGGTGCTTCTCCCCTGAGAAGACTGCTTCTTCTTCGGATAGCTTCTGGCAGTTCAGGGGCACTTCGGCGTTGGGGAGCTTGGGGGTCAGAAGGCTGGGGGCGCAAAGTAACATCTTGGAGGTCGAGGGTGGAGAAGGCGAGGCGGTAATTCCGCCGAAGGGCCCATGGGCGTAGACGGCGCAGTGGGGAATGGGACCCCCTGGGGGACACTGGGATCAGTGTGCCATAGCCAGAGTCTGAGGTATCTTCTGGTACCGAGGGAGCATCTTCATCTGTGTCTTCTGTCACTACCAGATGGGGGATGATGGTAGACAACTCTGGATTCCTACAAATAGCAAATGGTCCAAGTCAGATGCTAAGGGGTCAAGTTCAAGTCCAAGAAGTGTCCCTCCCTTTATCACTCCATTCAGAAATAGCCCCTCCAAACCTATTTCAGTATCACCTTTATACTGCACTGGCTTTTTCTGATCTCGCTGATTGAACTGTAAGCTCCTCTGAGACATTTTACCCACAGCACTTGGTCCGGCGCCTTGTATTAAGTAGGTGCTCTGGCCTTTTCTGTGGGGTTCTTGGGCTCCCCTGAAGTTATCCCCAGTGATGGATCTTTTTTCTTTTTCTCCTTAACCATACTGCTGAATAGCTGTGTTATTCAGGATGAACCTCCCGTGCTCTTTGGGGATTTGGACTAGCGGGTCCCTGCAGCTCCAACATTCTGCAAACCCTTACTGGCCTTCAGCCTCCATCTCTGGCCTGGGGAGCCTACTCCTCTCAGGGAGTTCATGCCTCTTGTGTCTGTTTCCTTTAGCCTGTGCCAACTGTAGGCTGGCTAACCCCCTAGACTGTCTCAGGAGGCCCTTCACATGGCTAATGCCAATCTGTTCTCCCACCTGTAGCCTGGGTTTCTCAATCGATTCCTAATTTCCCTGGATGCTGTCATGCCATTTCTCCGCCTTGTGGCTTCCTCTTCTCTCCCTCCTTGCCTGCAGCCTCCTTACTACAGGAGAGCTTGTGGCCCCTGTGGGTGTTACCTCTCCTCCGTGTTCTTCTGAGAGCCCTCTGGGGAAGGCGTGGAGGGCCTGGTGCCCTGGCACTCCTGGTCCTGGTCCCGGTCCCTGTAGAGGGCCAGGAGCTCCCTCTTCTGTTGGACATACTCCTCTGCCTTCAGCTTTTGAAGGGTAACCTGGGGTGGGGATACTTTCATTAAGACCCTCAATTATTGAGCACTTGCTGTATGCCAGGCACAAGGCTAAGTGCTTTACATACAATAATTATCACCTTTAATCTTCACGACAACCTGATGAGGCAGATATTTTTACTCTTACTTTACTACTGAGAAAGGAGACTTAGGTTAGTACCTGCCAAGGTCATGCAGTAAGAAAGTGGGATAGAACCAGGATTTGAACTTTTTAGCTGGCCCTGGGTGGGCAGGGGTAGGTGGGCTGAGCACAAGGCCCCTTCTCCTACCTTCCTGCTTCTCTTGCCCCCTTGGCAAGCCTTCTATCCAGTCTGTCCCCTCCTTCAGGAAGCCCTCCCTGATTGCTGGTGATGCTGGTATAAGTGCTGGGCCCTCAGGTTACTCTTCCTCCTGCCACCAGAGTGGTCAGGGGCAGGCTTTGTCCTGGACTGAGGACTCTGCTGTCCTTCAGAGATGAAAGCAGGATCATCTCAAGAGGGTTAGAGAAAGGATACATTATATTTTGTCTTCCTCCCTCAACATTTTCATACAGGTGCCATCAGAATAAAATAGTGATCAAGAAGTGGTTTACAGAGCACCTCCACATGCACGTGGTCATTTGAAACACACCATCGCCTGGCAGAGTTTACAGATGAGAAAACAGGACTTCAAGAGATGAAGGAACTAGCTCAAGGTGTCACAGGTAGAGAGAAGCAGAACTGGGACTGGACCCTTCCCATGAATCCTAGAGTAGTAACTGCACTGTTTTCAAGGGCAGCCTGAAAGGACACGGAGTTGCTAAAGGACAACGCTTGCTGGGGGTGGCGGAGAGGGAGGGAAGGCAGCAGAACCGCAGAGAGCTGAAGGTGGGGGCTTGGCAAAAGACGGAGAGGTGGCTGCTGTGGGCGGCGCTGGTGTCGGAACCCACTGGATGGCCCTATCGTCGTTAAAATATTGAAATACTTTCATGCTGATAAGCAAAGGGCTGCTGTCTGAGCCTCCTGCCTCAGTTCCCCAGGATTACCCTGCTCCTCCCAAACCCGCCCCCCGCCCCCCAACC